ACTTTTGTATCTAAAATCAATTACAATCTGTAACGTAATGTTTTTTTTTTTTTACTCGATGTTTTAAATAATGACGTAAATTAATGCAAATACGTTTTGAACTATGGAACTAGTTAAAATAATTACTGTTTTGTATTACGTTGTTGATTTATATTTAAACTGATGAAATTTGTGCCCTGATTAACAATGATAGTGGTTGGCTTTTTCTTACTCTTTCCGCCAGCAACTGATAGGTTCAGCGACGTCAGAGCCGTTTGCCTCGCAGAGGATTTTCAGAACAAATTTATCCTTTAACATCTGTTTCTATGCTTTACCTTTTGCAAAGCAGTTTTGTTAATTGTTCTTTACTTTTGTTCTGCTACGCTATGGTGTCATTGAACCTTCCCGTTCGAGCTACGCTAGTCCAGCTTTTCTCGTCCCAAAACCCAATGGCAAGTCCCGAATGGTTTTGGACTATCGCAAATTGAATGCGCAAATTGAAATCGACTCTGTGCCTCTCCCCGATTTGCATTCTGCGTTTGATTGGTTCGGTAAGGCCAAGTATTTTTCTGTTTTTGATCTGAATCAGGCCTATCATCAGATTCCTTTGAAACCTGAGTCTCGACCTCTCACTGCTTTCTGCGTTCCGTGGAATTTGTATCAGTTCACAAGAGTTCCGATGGGTCTTGCTGTGGGGGTCCAGACTCTCACCAGACTCCTTGATTCCATCTTTCATGATGTCAAGTTCAAGTTTGTGTTCAATTACCTCGACGATCTCTTGGTGTACAGTGAGAGCTTCGAAGATCACCTGATTCATCTTGAAGAAGTCATGAGTAGATTGAATAGGGCTGGCCTTACCGTGAATCCTGACAAGGTTAGTTTTGCAAAGCCGGAAATTTCGTTCCTTGGTCATCTTATCTCTCATAGAGGCGTCTGCATCGACCCCGCTAGAACCCAGGCTATCAGGGAGTTTCCTCCTCCCAGAGATGTCAAGGGTATTGCTAGGTTCATCGGCATGGTAGGTTTTTACCGACGCTTCATACCCAATGTTGCTGAATTGGCGGCTCCTCTCAATGAGCTTCGGAAGAAGGGCGCCAAGTTTGTCTGGGGTGAAGCGCAGCAGACGTCTTTTGATCTTCTCAAGGAGGCTATCATGCAGCCCCCTGTTTTGGCGATGCCGGATTTCAATCAAAACTTTGTCTTGCAAACAGATGCTTCCTCCGTCGCAATTGCGGCTGTGTTGTCACAAGAGGTGGATGGTGTTAGGCAGCCAATTGCGTACGCCTCACGCACTTTGAGTCCCTGCGAAAAGAAAAGCTCTTCTGTGTATGAACTCGAGTGTTTGGCTGTCGTGTTTGGAGTCAATAAATTCAGACGCTTTTTGGAGCACAAAGAGTTTTTATTGGAAACCGACAACCAGGCACTCTCGTGGCTTCTCGCACATCCACGCCAGCTTGGGAAAATTGGTCGTAAAATTGGGGGAAAATGGTAATACAAGTTTTCCATTAGTTTATTTTTGTTTTTTGTTGTGATAAATACACACTGATCTGATTGAACTTTGAAAAAAGCTTATTAGCTACGGTAAAACATATAAATTATATGTGAAATCAATATAAACGGGTTTTTTCATACACGGTACACGGTACAACGGTATTTTTACTACAGTGCTTTATGTTTTGCGATTATTTTTCCTTATTTACTTTATATGTACGTTTATCAACGAAATAAATGTTTAAGTAAGCTTATCATTTTATCATAATCGAATCGTATGGGTAAATTATTTCCATAAATGCATCACCGCCTCATATAATTCGTACTAAGTAGCCATATAAGTTAGCCTAGCCTTAAAGAAAGATATTTTTTTCAAATTAAGAGTTTCAATTGAGTTATGTTCCTGAAACCAAAGGGGGATGTGTAACTATTTTATACAACAGAATTGAAGATCAAATTTTTTCGCTTAGTCCAGTCAATGAATGATCCAAAAGTAGGTGTACAGTGCGTGAGCAGGTAACTAAGCGATTCCTTCACAAACTTGTTCAGGGGGCTTAGGGTGTTAACATACCAAAAGTCCTGACTCCTAGGTGGTGAGCCAGGGGGTGGAGGGGGAAAAAGGTACGCATTTTGGGTTTTTTTGATTATATCTCGAAAACTATCAACTTTTTGTATACTATAGTAAATTATAAAATTGAAGAAGATTAAATTTTCTACAAGAAAAGTATGTAATGTGTTTATTTTGGTTCAACAGATTACGAGTTATAACTTATTTAATTGATATCTTATTAAAATACTCCTTCCATAAGAAATACATGTAAATTAGTATGCGAAATGGGGCGAATCCTATCCGCCCAAAGGAAATATAACTGATATTCTGGAAATATTGAAAAAATTTCCAGTAATTAGACACTTTAATCATGAAATTTTGTCAAAAAATAAAGCGAGGGTGAGCGTTTAAAAATGGGATGATTTAAGGTTTTTTTATATTTCCAATAAAAAAACACCAAAACTCGAAATTTTGTTACCTCGCCCTCGCCTTAATTTTGGATCAATTTTAATGATTAAAGTGTCAAATTACTGGAAATTTTGTCAAGATTTCCAGAATATCATTTATATTTCCTTTGGGCGGATAGGATTCGCCCCATTTTGCATACTAATTTACATGTATTTCTTATGGAAGAAGATTTTAATAAGATATCAATTAATTAAGTTATAACTCGTAATCTGTTGAACCAAAATAAACACATTTTATACTTTTCTAGTAGAAAATTTAATCTTCTTCAATTTTATAATTTACTATAGTATACAAAAAGTTGATAGTTTTCGAGATATAATCAAAAAACCCAAAATGCGTACCTTTCTCCCCCCCCCTTTTTCCCCTCTCCACCCCCTGGCTCACCACCTAGGAGTCAGGACTTTTGGTATGTTAACACCCTAAGCCCCCTGAACAAGTTTCTGAAGGAATCGCTTAGTTACCTGCTCACGCACTCTACACCTCATTCCTTGACTGGACTAGCTTCAGTGCCCTCTCCGTTGCGAAGCACGGGTACAACAGCTAGTATTGTATACACGTTGGATACTCTCTGATGGCTGACAGAGACGAGCCTAACAGAGATAGGGCTGTAATTAGTTGGCGTTTACCAATATAAATTTACGTAAAGCGCTTATAAATACTATTTGTATATTTATAGACTCTTGCAAAATAGAGACCTCGCTGGGCACGATCCCCCAGTTGTCTGGAACATTTGAGGCCTTTTTATTAATTGTACTAACCGGATTTGACATGCAAGTGAACGTTATTTAACAATTAAGTTCAATGTAGCTCAATCATTAAACTTTATTGTTACTTAATTCCATCCAGCATTTAACCACCATTCAACACACAATTCGACGTTTATTCGTTTCTCAATAACAATAAAAGTTGTTATTGTTGTAATATTTTTGGAGTAAACAACATTGTATCAATGTAATCAATAACCGTAAGTTTTCATTATCAATGCTATCAAAAGTTCATCTTAACGATATATATAAAGTAAACACTCATTATATTTTACAACTATTCAACAAATCGCTGGAGACCTGGTGCTCAGGAGTAAAACTTTCACCAGTCAAGTAGGAGTAGATCAATAGACGCAGTGAACTAGATCTAGTTCTCATGTGACAAAGCAGGGTTTGCACCTAAAACTTGTTGACTTATGGCGACTGACGTTCAACGATGTATTACTTTCAGTTTGGGGTACGATAACTAGAACAGCTTTGATGGTGAAACATGTTATTTTAATGTTTAATAAATGTAATGTATAGCAGTTAGGTTGCTATACATTACACTGATACTACTGTAGTATTATTAATATCCACGGAAACTTATGTACAAGCATAAATTGTTAATAAATGCTCTATATACAATCTTCAAAATAATATTATACGCTTATATATATATTTTTACCATCCATATATTTTGTAATCCTATAACTCGTTTTTTACTTCTGACAAAAATGCATAACAGTACAAAATGTCAGTACGTCACAATTGTTTTGTTTCGCTCTCATATATCGTGTTATTAAATGTTCATCCTACATTTTATACCCTTTAGTACCCAGATAATTATTTTGAAAGTACATAACGTTATATACACTATCCCAGTGTGAACGTTAGATATCATCGTGCACATATATTTCCATTATAAGTTGCACGCAACGGTATAATATTAACCCACCATGTACCAAACAGTATAGGTCGACTATACCAAACCACCGAGTAATTTGACGTTTGTTCTATCACAAAAATCACAGTGTATAACGTGAAACAGTTGTATTAAGTACACAACACAATACAGTAATAACAAGTTTGGTTGTTGCGGAATGCATATCTCAACATGGCACATAACGTGTCGGCGGCGGCGGCGGCGGCGCCGGTACAGTGGCAAATTGTGCCAGGACACTGCAGTCAGGTCACGGCTACTGCGGACTCCACAGTTTACACTTTACACTTTGGAATTCAATTACAGCATCGGGTGTTTGAATCTGACATAGAATTTCTTGTGCCATTTTTCAACACGAAATGTTGATTACACTAGCGCAAATAATATCATGTAGGTCCCGGAACAATTTATAAATACTTAAGAGTTTTTAGATATGATAATAACAATATGAGCTGCGATGTTTCTCTAGCATAAATCCATACAAATTTTTTTTAGTTCTAGTGAAACACATTTTAATACACACCACTTGTCTTCGAAACTTCCATTATAGTATAGTATATCTGTTTGTGTTTCTACTGATTTTCACATAGCTAGTGTAATTTTGTAAAATATTAGTTAAAATCTCGTGCCAAGCTCTAGATTCCCTAATGGTATGACATGGATAATATAGTTGTTGTCAGTTTTCGGTGGCACGACGGACTACGAGTCCATTGCAGCGATGTCGTGGGTTCGCGGGTCGATTTTTTCTATTGATATTAATCAGTACAGTTATTCCTTTTACTGCACCGGCTCAACCTTGCTCTACAAAATACTATGTTTTTTGCAGCCGAACGGCAAATTGTACGAGAGCTTCAGCATCTTCTGTCCCCTGGACAGTCTGGACAATCTTGAGCTGGTGGAGACTGAGGATGTGCTCATTGACTGGTCTCGGCCTATCTACCTCAACTTCACCCACTGCAAGATCATGGAGCGACTGGAGGAGTTCTACTTGGACCGTGGGACCATCGAGAAGGTCTGCGGGGACGTTTACGTGTGTGACGAGCCTCCAGCTGACGACCAGATGGCTGAGTAAGTCAACATGTAGTGGTGCACATTATCTAAACATTGGGCTATTAGTCCAGTCAATTCGTCGTGGAAATCTACCTTACGTTACAAAAAATAACTGTTACGAGTTTTTTCCTTAACTTTATGTTTTTTGGGGCGCTGAATCCGAATCTGAAGAGATCCAACAAAAATTCCTTGTGCGTTTTGAGCTAGACGCAAAAAATATGAAAATTTTGGCACTTTTTTCAGTTTCTTGCTTATAACTCTGAAACTATACATTCTACTAAATTTTACCAAATGTGAAAATGAAAGATCATGAAATTTCCTACAAAATACATATGTATCATTCTTTATCAAACGCACAATTAGCCCGCTAGAGTGCGCTTCAAAAAGAGAAAAATATCACATTATTGTAAAAACAGGTTTATTGCCAGATTTTTACATTTATTATTGAAAGTACGCGTTTATTGAAGGTGGACTATGTAAGTAAATTAAGTTTAAATACTTTACATGTAAGCCCTAATTAGGGTACAATTAAAAAATATCTAATTTATTTCAGAACATATAAGAGCAAAGACAATATTATTTTTAGTGACTTTTTCCACTGCAGTGGAAGACCGCTGCTTGGAGTCCCTCAAATGCGGTTGGTGTTCTTCTGTACAATACGGTTCAGTAATATCTTGCTTTTCCTTGTGGTTGGTGTGCTGATAGCTGGGTAGTTATTAATGAAATTATTTTAATGAGTTTAAAGTTATCGGTGGACAATTGAAATTTAAGACACGGATTTAGTTGTTCACTGGTTATATGCTGAATTTAATATTTAAACAAAACAGTACAAAGACAGAAATTATGTTAACAGTTTGGAATACAAAATTATTTAATTGAATCGAGAAAAAATAACAAATAAGAAAATAGCTCACTGCATAAATGAGCGTTGTCAATATAAAAAAAAAACTGTCGGAGGACGCTTTAGGCGTCCCTGCCGCGTGAGTTTTGTTTTAAACACTGATTGTCACACTTTAAGCATCCCCAAGCCCTGACGGGCAAGGGAAAGGATATTAGGAAGTTACTTAAATAATATGACGAGAGCTTCCTTGTCTTCGATCCCTAAATTACTTATTTGTTTGTTATTCTTCAATTGTTTACCTTATTAAAATTAGATGTGATTATTTGTTTGTATTACTGTATTCTCTTTTGTTTATTTTAGCTTAAAGTAACCAATCAATAGTTTTATTAATACTTATGATGTAAAACGGGGTGAAGCTCGTGGGTAACAGCTAGTATTATATGGTATTCGCATTTTGGGATAATTGTTTCATAATGTAAAAGGAATGTTAGGTGATGTGAGACACGTATTAATGAACATTTAAGTATTATAAATATCATTCAACATGAGAATTCCCATTTCAAGATTTTCATGGATTCTGTGTCGTCCCTCTGAACTCGGTATTCTCTGTTGTCTACACTGCCTACATGCTGCTCAGAGATTTCGAAGTGAACACCACAAAACCTTTCCATCTCTTTGGTAATGTGAATTATGGATGTGTGCATTTGAATTAATCATCTAAAGGATATGCTATCAGAAATATTATACATTCTAAATCTACCCTCAATTTTAGTACTTCTCATGAGGAATTGCTCTATTGTTTTGTATATGAAGGTGCCATACCATAGTTTATCGGGACGACGGACTGTGAAGGCGTCTCCACAAGTGAAATTGACGATTTATATCACGTCAATGTTTGTAAAAAATAAAAAGAGAATATGTTATAATTAACTGTTTATGTTAAAACTGTGTACGATAATGCTTTATTATTCAACTTAGAGGTTAACCAACCATAGGCTACTGTATAGTTGTAAAAATAAATGTCTAACTATGGCAAGTTATGTTTAACAGAATATTTGTCCTTTCGTTCATGATAAATTTTAGGTGTTTTTGGTGAAAGTAATTATTTGAGAGTGATTTTTTTGAAGCTAGAATTAAGTTAAATAGATAGTGAAATAAGTTACAGAAGGGAAGATGAGTGGAAACGCTGTACTTTTAATAATATATGTGAAAATATGGAAAAAAGGTTGTTTACAACAATGTAAATTTTTGTCTTTTTGGAGCGGGTCCCAATTATTGTCTTTGCTTCTATTTGTTCTGAAATAAATGAGATATTTTTTAATTGTACACTAATTGGGGCTTACATGTAAAATATTTCAACTTAATTTACTTACATAGTCCACCTTCAATAAACGCGTACTTTCAATAATAAATGTGACAATCTGGCAATAAACGTGTTTTTTACAAAAATGTGATATTTTTCTCTTTTTGGAGCGCACTCTAGCGGGCTAATTGTGTGTTTGATAAAGAATGATACATATGTATTTTGTAGGAAATTTCATGATCTTTCATTTTCACATTTGGTAAAATTTAGTAGAATGTATAGTTTCCGAGTTATAAGCAAGAAACTAAAAAAAGTGCCAAGATTTTCATATTTTTTGCGTCTACCTCAAAACGCACAAGGAATTTTTGTTGGATCTCTTCAGATTCGGATTCAGCGCCCCAAAAAACATAAAGATAAGGAAAAATCTCGTAACAGTTATTTTTTGTAACGTTCAACTACCATTTGACTGGACTATATGTGGATCAAATGTTGATGTCGTTAGGGGTTAGCTAGACGAGAGCAAAATGGGTTGGATCGATGATTACTTGGCTCAAATTGTATTTGGGTGTTTCACAAGTAGTTCCAATATCCAAGGGGGTTCAGTTTAATCCATGAGTTTTGTACTAAAAAAATCGGCCAAAATGCTTTGTTCAGCTATTGCTATGTAGGCATTAGGGTGTATAATGTAAATGTGCTATGTGCTATCCACAAGCCTTATGCAGTCATTGTTGTGTAGGCAGTGGAGGATATAATGTAAATGTGCTATTTTGTTTACAGACTGGTGCCACCAGAGGAGGTGAAGATAGAGGAGCTACGACAGGAGCACGCCACAGCCATCCACGAGCTTTACCCAGCCAACGATATGGAGGCGGTGGAAGTGTTTGAAAGACTCATCACCGCATTGCCAGCCTTCGGGGTGTTTTCCTCGGGTGAGCTGGCCGCGTGGATGGTCCAGTCCTACTACGGTGCCATGTTCTCCATGCAGACCCGTCCCGAGTTTCGCCGCAAGGGCTATGGCATCCACCTAGCAAAGTGTCTCACGAAAATCGTCCGTTCGAGAGGATACGTCCCGTTCGTCGTCATTCGTCCCGAGAACGACGCCTCGCAGAGTCTCTACCACAAGTTAGGCTTTAGGAAGAACTATCAAACAGTGCGTGCCATCCTGCGACCGCACGACAAGACCTCCACCGACGACTGAGGGCGTTGGGCCGCGGCCGGGCTCCTCTCTCATCTCTCGCTTCCACCTGCCTGCTCCACTTATTTATCTCTAAATCAATTCCAATAAACGTAGGCTCGTAGGGCACTGTGCACGGGCAGTCTGTGATAATATCCTCCGCGCCGCGCCGCTAGCTGGTACTCTCCCTGACACTGTACAGTCTCACCACAACGACAGGTCTCTCGACTGGTAGGGGAAACTGCTGAATTCTTATTTGTTTAAGATCTAAGCCTATTGGTATTTTAAGCTAAATACCGTCCCATTCCTTTGACTAACTTTTATGGTCAAAGAATTGTTGGTTTTCTTAGTTGTATAGGTCTGCAGATTAGCATTTGTCGTAGACCATGAGTCAGAAGAGGTGCTTAATTGCTCAATAGTCAGTGTCAGTGGCTAGGGAGGGTGCCAGACGCTAGCCCTGCACAGTCACCGATAGTTGTAGTACGGGCTGGAGACCTTCAAGTGCCACACACCTCGCGCCAGGGTCAAGTTGAAAATCTGTGATATCCTCATTTAAACCTCAGGCATCGTATTCTTTTATATATATAGTTTTCGATATAATACGTTTGTACTAATTTAGGAGTCGTAGACAATTTATAAACTTTGTTTGGCGATGTACATAATTTGTATTCTAAAGGAATTTTAAGATAGAAAATCGCACCGTAGGATATTCCTGAGGTTTAAATTTGTATGAAAATCAAAAGCGATGATAGTTTTTGAATGTTTGTAAATAACTATATTATATAAGAAGTGGCTGCCCTGGCTCGGTGGTGTTTGTGATCAGCGCAGGAGAAATAACCGAGCGTCAATTTTAACTAAATATTTTTATATTATTAATGATTTACTCGTCGGTTTTATCCTTGTAATAACTCATTAATTTTATAGCTCATTGAAACGTATGTGTTTTAATAATTGAAGGATCGTACCTTCATTGTGAATAACAGATACGAGTTACTTCTCATGTAACATCAGAATGCCTGATAATCGTGAAGATTAGTTAGTTTTGGGGCCGAGAATCACAATGTGGGTATTTCTCTATTTCAAACTTATTTATTTGCGTAACGGCTAGACGTGGGTTAATTCTACTGTAATATTACCCATTTCAAGAGTTATATATACTATTAATTCTAAAATTGTGCTTGTGGATTCAATCAATTGACGGTATCGAGTTTTTTTTTATCAATTTCATAAAATGAGATATGAACATTCTTTGTTCATACAAATGTAAACAAATTTGGGAGGCTGTTAAGTGTTGTCTCATTGCATATAATAAATCCATAATCATCCTACTAACAAGGTTATAAAATGAATTATAATATTGTCAGGAGGAGATATTTTTGAATTTATGAACTGCATTTGTTTATTTTTAATACATTAAACCAAACACATCTTGACAGAATAAAAATGAGATGACATATTATTGTGTGGGTTTCCTACTCCCACGAAATACAATTACTCTTTATTAATTCATTAATTTCACTTTTCTGTCAATTAAGTGCAGGAAACAATGGTATGAGTAATAGCTACCACTGTAAAAGTAGGAATCAAATCCTAATTTTATTCTTTTAAAAACTCGAGACGGAAAAATGTTTGAAATTAGTTCTACTGCAGAAACTTTTACATTCTATTTTCTTCAGCTGAACTTTGAACCTGACGTGATATTAATCCACAAGCATAGTTTTGTGATAGTTTACACCTTCTGCTGTACTCTGTAGGCAAACACTCTGCAGTCTGCAGTATGCAGTACACAGGCTGAAGACTCGGTAGATACGCTTAGGCTATAACATTCCTCACTGTCTAGGTAACGGATGGTTGGTGGTAATGTGTGTCCGTTGGGCGAATATAGAATGGTAGGTTTTTTATCTTTTCATAATCAATGGATAGGTGTTGATCTTAAACGGCAGTGGATAACTTGTAAACAGACATGATAAGAAGATTTGTGTTGTTATGAATCTTAAGATTCGACGTTTAAGTTATTGAGTGATAGGTACGCTTTTTATTTCGATGTATCTGAGTTTTTTTTTTTTAATTACTGAGATATGAATGTATGATTGGGTGAAGTTTTGTTTTGTTTTGCTGTACACCAAAGACGTAAACTTAAATTTAGTGAGCTAGGGATGATTTGTTATCTCTACAAACGTGTGAGAGTGACGATTGTTATATCGAGTTAGTTCCTTGCTTTCCTGATCTGATGTTATGTTTTATAAACTTTACCAAGTGGTACCTATCAAATCCTGATGAACCCGGAGCAAATTGGGATTTTAAAAATTGATCACCTTTTTTCTAGTTTGAGGGATATTGTACTACATATTCAGGCACAATCAATTTACTGGAGTGAAAGCAGACCAAAATATAATTTTAACTCCCGATAATTTTATTAAAAAACTACAACCAACTTTGTGCAAACTCGTACTCAGGAGATGTGTGTTGTTGGTTGTAATGCTTCGCGCAGAAACATAACAGAAGTGCTTCTTTTAGTTAACAAATTTTGAAGCAGTTTTGACAAATTAGAATTAAACCGAAAACTCCTCCAAATACTGTACATATAAATTCAAATTCATTTTTTTTAAACGTTTTTAAATTGTCAACTTACTGCACATTTTAGTCCGCTGAAAATCAAAGAATAATATATAATAGCATAAAAATTTTACAAGTTTGTTCAAACCTAATTATGATTATTATTATTATTATTACTACTACTACTACTACAAAGGTAGTTTCTTATAGTGTTGATTGAAAATCTTATGGCTGCCAAAGATATTAAATATCAACACTTGATTTTCCAAATTGAATCTCTTCCAAAATTGTTGGACATGTTCCTCTTGAACCAATTTAAGTAATCCATAAACTTCAAATTGTGATACTTTATATATTTCTGAACAATAGGGTATAGTTTTCTTATATATCCTCACTTTTTCTTCTTAAACTTCCATTGGCTGACTTTCGTTTGTCTCGAGACGAATTGTTGGGTCGATAATGAAACCGTATTCTCTTCCCTTGCCAATAGTAATAATATCACTCCACCTCACAGAGCCGTCTTCTTCTAAAGCTGTGACTTCTTCGTAGACCTCGTAACTTTTTTTGCGGAATTGATCAGATTTGATCTTTTTGTATAGTGATGGGTATTCCATAGAAGACTATTAAATGGACACTTTCCAAGGACGTGTGCAAGAGTTTCAATGATAAATTTCTCAGATAAAGGACAATGCCAGCACTGGTTCCCGTCCCTGGGCCTCCCATGAAGAATTTAACGTCTCCGACCATTTTCAACTATTGTCTTCTGGCAGGCCACAACCTCTTGCCAAATTCTTATTGATTTTATCAAAATTTCAAAAAGGGCAACCCGTTCCCTTTATATGGATGTTTACATCAATTTTGTTTTCTTTGGATTTAGGTTCCTAATGATATACTGTAATATGAAGATTTAAAAAATAATAAGTTACTTGCCATCAAACTGTCTAAATGTTGTTTTCAATTTAATAGCGAAATAACAGCTATAACTTTAAGTTTAAATGTGTTAAAACTCGTAACAATATTTTGAATTTCATAGCATAACATCAAGTTGGGCTAACGCCTAAAATGGAAAAGTTACCTAAAATGTTCTAATAATTGAAAATTATTTTTGTTGAATATACTTTGCAAAAAACTTTGATTCAAAATGTTCAGTACAGTTTTAAGGATAAAAGTATCCTGTACATCCTTGTTCCATCCTTGACAGTAGCTCATTGCACATAACTTTGTATTGTATTTTGATTGTATATTGTTTGGAAAAGTTTAGTTGGAAAGTGCTTCCTCTCACTGGTGTAAACATGGTTAGTTATTGTATTGATTATCTGTATGTTAACTTTTGTTTACTGTATGTTGGTTGTGTTACTGAACTGAGCGACCTGTTGACCTGTTACAACATGATCTAGTCCTAGAGAGAAAGTCCACGTTGTTTGACAGTGAACACTTGCCTCTCTAGAGAGGAATTAAATGCCTTAAAATTACTCAGTTTCTTATTTAATACCTTTACCAAAAACCACACTGTAGTAGTGTGCTGGGATGTGGAGATTCCATAAAATCTAGCCAAATATGTTCCCAGTTATTAACATGTTATTAACAAATTTTAACATCAACTTTAATGGAAAAATCAAGAGGAAATGATCCTAATCTTCATTAAATCACTAATTTGTGCATTTTAAATGGTGCGAATAAACATAAAAAGAACTTTTAGATGAAAACGTTTTTCATTAACACTATAGACCTATTGTCTCACGGTGAGATAAAAAAGAAGAAAATTACAATATGTAAATGGAAATTATTTTTCGTTTGCTGAATTTCCAAGTTGACAATGAACCAATAACGCAGTTCTGTTGATACATTTCAACTGTCACATTTTACATTTTACAGTTTTGTCACCAACAACTGTAGACAGAAATTAATGTGTACTTTACGTTTAAAGTGTATTTTCAACTCAAGTGCACGCCAAAAAAAATACCGCTTTACTCTCTGTAAGTTACTGTGTGCAAAAATAACTTTTTCCTACAGTCACCCGACAAAGTTGGCTTCCTTGTACTGTTTATAGTACAGAAAGCTGCTAATTGCTGCATATTTATACTTTGCCGTACGGTTTATACTTTGCCGCACGGTTTATACTTTGCCGCACATCAGGATTCCAACGAAACGACACAAAACAGCGTGGTTCTATTATGCACGTAATCCGTATACGCTTGGAAATAGGTTGGCAACACTTAAAGATAATAATACTATGAGCAGCTGATTGACTATCATAACTACGATTTAACCTGTCATTTCGTGTTTATAGTTTCGGTATTTCTGAACTTTTTGGACTTATCTTTTAAACGTTTTTAAAACATTCCTACGATCTTAATAAACAAGAAAATACCTTTAAAGCATTTTTTAGGCACGGAAACCACTTCAAATTACAAAAACATACGGAACTATATTCTCAAAACGTGGAGCACATTTCTTGCCGAGGAAAAATAGCGGAGTGATACGGACCGCGGGTACTACTTTCTCTAGGGCACCATTTGTGTTGCCAGCTGAACCTAAAAACGTGTTGTATAGTGTTTGAAAGACTAATTATTTAAATGCTTTATAGTGACTGTAGGAAAAATATAATGTGTAACACGAGTGAAAAAGGCCTTTGCTGCACTCGAGATCATTCCGCACTCACCTGCGGCTCGTGCGTAAACATTGCTCTCGTGTTCAGCAAAGTGCCACTTTCACCACTAGTTACACAAATAACTATTGTTAACAGTGTCACACTGAGTGGAATTTTGTTCATTTGAATGATTTTTTTCACCGAACTACGATGTTTTAGCTGTTTACAAACGTTATTTGGATGCTGAAAGCTACGTATTACTGTCCAGAGCTGAAATGCCAGCTTTCATCGTCATTTGGGGGCCAAACAGGTTTGTAGAGCCCTAAGGCCGTAAAATCAGTTGTTCGCTTATTTACTTAAAACATTAATCCATATATTTAATACACAGTTGTAAGTCTGTTTTCTCAGTGACTACTGGACCGATCTACAAGACTTATGTGTCAAATTAAATTAAATTAGAAGATTTGCCACATTTCCTTTGAATTTACGTTTTTTCTAAGGTCTACGACCTAGAGCCCTTCAAAGGTCGAGTCAATACAATTCTGATTAAAAAATATAAAATTCAGTTATAATTATAAATCATTCGTCAGCTGTTTAATGTTTGTCAGCTGTGAGACATTTGTTATTATTTTTATATACAGGGTGGCTGAAAAGTAACTTGCACCCCCCCCCCCTTAACTTTTCAACCATTTGAGATATTTGAAATCTTTTTGCGGCAACCTTCTTAGATATGAGGGGCTACAATAATTATGGTCAATTTTGAAAATTTTGCCCTTAGGGGTAGTGGGAGTAGGGGGTAGCTCAAAAATTTCAAATGACAAGTATAGTCGAGTTTGGTATCATTTTACAGAACGTGACGAAAAATATAAATTAACATAAATAAAATAGAAATCGGACCATTAATAACAAAATGGCAGCTAAAAATGATTAAGACAATGGTCATTAAAAGTAATTTTGAACTGCCATTTTGTTATTAATGCTCCGATTTCTATTTTCTTTATATTAATTTTTACTAGAGGTCGTCCAGTGGTCGAAAACTCGACCATAAATATCGAATGTACAGACTTCTCTATTTTCACCCCACGCTTTAAATAAAACATGTGATTGGAATTTCTTCCATTTGTTTTGATTTTCTGTTTATATTTCGTTGTTATTTCGTTACCAGCATGGCAACCTATAAAGCCCATGTTAATTTTTTTTAATTTCAAACTTATTTTTTGTGCTTATATTTGAGCCTATTTGAATTTTTAAAGGAATTCTGCACTTCTACAGGAAAATATCTTTCTAACGGTATGCGTAGATTTTCCCTGCGATGCACACGAGCTGAGAAAAAAGGTTTTAAAGAAACATGCTTGCCTATTAATATATAGATAGATGCTTCGTCAAGACCTGTAAAATGATACCAAACTCGACTATACTTGCTATTTGAAAATTTGGAGCTACCCCCTACCCCCACTACCCCTATGGGCAAAATTTTCAAAATTGACCATAATTAATTATTGTAGCTCCTCATATCTAAGAAGGTTGCCGCAAACAGATTTCAAATATCTCAAATGGTTAAAAAGTTAAGGGGGGTGCAAGTTACTTTTCAGCCACCCTGTATAACCTCACCATCAGTATGTTTTTATTAATCTCCCTGTTTATGAACAAACAACAACAAACAAACAAAACAAGAAAAAGTGTATTCGTTAACTTTTTATACCACAATCTTTTGTACAACTAAATAACCGAATAGTGTGTTAGTTTTCCTGCGAAGTGATTTAAAGGAAAGAGGTAATTCAGTCTAAGTTTGAGTATGGAACGTGAAATAATACCCATAGTAGCGGACGGAAACTGTTTGTTTCGATCAATATAATTTATTCTATATGGCTACCAGAACAATCATAGGGAAATCCGCTTTTATAATTGCTAATGAGTGGGAAACAAAATAAAACTTTTATCGTAGATGATGAATCGTACCCAAGATCAGCGTTTACGTTCATCAGTACCAGGTCCCTAAAGGCCAAAAACACCATCCGTTCATATATATTTATACAGGGTGTCCCGTAAGTAAACAGCCAAACTCCGGGAAATGGTTCTATTTGTAAAAAAAAGAGAAAATCAAGAATACCATTTTTCCAAAATCGCTTCGTTAACCAGATATTTGCCATTTTGTTTTTTTTTTCACATTAACATTTTTATCTAGTATAAAGTTTTTCAACCGATAAGTATGAAACTTAGTATGTATGTTAAAGAAATAGAGACCCATGTTAGAAAAATTATCTTGATTCGTCATAAAACTTCAAAATGGCGGCCATTTTAATCTTTTAAACTTAATTTACAAAAAACATTTCTGATTTCATGAAAAAATTACACGAACACTTTTATTTGGAATTTTTAATTCCCTATCAAACGACACCAAGCTCAAAAATATCGAATAATAAATAGCCGAAATATTAAGATTATTAGTTGGAAAATGAGGTACCGTAGAAAAAAGGCTAAGCCAGTCAGATTTGTCCCATTTTACAACTAAAAATCGTAATATTTCAGCTATTTCTTATAATTGGGAATCATTTATTGTATCCCACAAAATGATTGCTCGATTTATTTTACAAAGTGACTGATCATTATTCACATGGCTTCTAGCTTAGATTTTTAGAGATAGTAGCAGTATTTGGTCACAATCACAGCAACATCTGGTCAATGGCAATGATAAAACAACAATCGACTGCAGGAGCGGCTCCAGAGGGTAGGCCAGATCATCGATGTATTCATCGATAGGCCAGATAGGCCCGGGCCTACCGAAAATTTGGGGAGACGGTCAGAGGGTCCCAGCCTCAAAATCCACCTAAAAATCCGTTGCCTGCTTTGGTGAGCGTTGCCACAGGGTCCCAGGCCGACCCCTCATTAATCCTGGGACCCTCAGACCGCAGTCGCCTGGAAAGGATTAGGTTCGGGTTTGATAAATGTTGACAAGGGAGAGCGAATTTCTATCTTTCACAATCAACTTGGTAAATTTAGTCACTATTTAACAAAGAATTGCCACTTTATCTGTTGTTTGCACTCGTTATGTTCTCATTCCTCCCTAATTCTGCCATGCCCCCCATGCCGAATCCAATACAATTATTTTCAATACAGAAAAATGCACCAAAAGGCCAATTCGTAGAGGCACTTTTTGAAAGATTTTCAAATGCATATGGGTAGTATGATATATTCATTTAAAGATCTAATCACCCAATCATTTTGGTGCTAATAAAAATAAATTGTCTCAAACAGTATTTACAGGGTGGGCCAAAACGTTTATAAAAGGACTTTGAAGTCAAATACCGTATAAATATTGAACGAAACAGCGCCATATTTATTTTCAAACATATTTATAGCTACTCTTTAAGACAGCTTATAGTAGGGGAATATTGTGTTCATTTTTAATTTTGAAAAACACTCTACATTCTCAAATACCAAGGTATGACAAATTTTATAGTTATAGGCCTTTAAAAAATATTTTTATTCTAGTAGTCTTTGTAATATTAACTACTAGGCCTACCTAATTTACTTTTTAGTTTATATGCGTGTATAATACAGTATATCTACGCTATGTAAGCAAGCTAAGTTGTAGGCCTACCTACAAATTAGGCTATAGCAATTATAACTTTTAACACTTTTTTTTATTTATTTATTTATTGCATACACGGCAAACGCCATTTTACAGGAGAGTTGAGTTGAGATTGATAGTTAGTGCGATCAATAATTAAATATTTTAACAAGTATGAAATACTAATAAATAATATGAAATACTAATAAATAATATGAAATACTAATAAATAATATGAAATATAAAAATATGAAATACGATAACAATACAGTTTTGATTAATAAAATATCATGATTTACAGGACGTGACAG